AATCTTATTACCGGTTAGCTTGTAATAATAATAATAATAATAACTTTATTTAAAGAGTGTATACACATTTAGTACAAGACTAATCTTCCATGCGGCCCTCAAACACATACAGTACATGAATGCATAAAGAGATTATATAAAACAATGATATGATATAACTACAAACTACAAACACAATTAATTAATGAGATTACTGTAAACTGACTAGAATTACATGTGTTGTAATGCCTATGGTAACGTATGTCCAACAATATCTTGCATATACTAACAGCCTATGTGGAACCTTACATTATAGGTTTTGACAGTGTCCTGTGGAATTCCAATACCAAACTTTTTATTATCATGAAATTGATAATGTTCATTTATCTATTTAAGTAAAGAGACAATAAGTGACTCTTGAGATTTTTTTTAAAAGTGAAGACTGTTATATCATTCTTAATTTGGTTTGGAAGATTATTCCATGACACAACACCGGTATAGCTGAAAGATTTTTTGAAGAATCCAGTGTTGTGTCTTGGTATAACTAGATTATTATGAGAAATAGATCTTAATCCATAGATATATGTATCATGGCATAGACTTAGGTTAGATTTAATGTAACCTGGTGCTAAATCATTAAGTGCTTTGTATACTAATATACAAAATTNATAATATTTGTACACACTCGACAGACCCCGTCCCAAACTGGCACGAATGAATGGCTCTATTTATCACATAACATCAATGTATCACACCGCAGTAAAATAGATAAACATAAGATACACCTCTGATAATAATTGATTAAGATATGTGCGATTTGACTATAATGATCGCTAAGTGGGGGGATGGATGAGTGATCAAAAATACTGACGGTAAAAATCAAAGGTAAGTTGAAAGATCATGTCATCAAATGTAAAAATACCAACATTTTGTTAATTACCTTGCAAAAGAATATACAAAAATACTTGACAGTATAACTCACAGGTAAGTTGAGAAATCAAAAATACTGACAGTAAAAATCACGGGTAAGTTGAAAGATCATGACATCAAATGTAAAAATATTAACATTTTGTTAATTACCTTGTAAAAGAATATACAAAAATACTGACTCACAGATAAGTTGAGAGTTAGTGTCACAACATATACCATGTCCAGCGCATTTATGACATTACATACATTTATAGTTCATATATCGATCTAGGTTTCTATGTCTTTGTTTTCTAATTTATAGTCTACTAAAATAGAATACCAGGTAATCTTAGTATGATTTCAGTGGTTTCGCATGGCAACATCTATCTTGATTTGTTGAGGCCGGTATGCCTCTTCACAGACTGTAAAGGAGAAATTCAGCTCTGCATGACCTCTTATAGTCATATATAGAAGAACTTCAGACTTGTGATTTCCTTGCATTTAGATGGGTTGCAAAAGCTAGAGAATGACATGTTTTAGGTACGTAACTACCTTTATGAAGGTATCAGCTTTAAGTTTTATTTTACTACGTTAACCTTGCTATGTCCATTTTAATAGTTAATGTACAAGTTCATATTATTCAAATTACCTACACAAATATAATTTCTACTTTTTATATGGGGTCTTTGAATAAGACTTATAATGGGAAAGAAATCTAGAGTGACTATATAATTAAGGGCTTGTTGAACCTGAAGTAAAAGTTTGAAATGACCGTTGTCAACATTTTTTTTCGAAGCAGTGGCAGAGATGAAAAAATGAACTTTCTATCTTTGTATATACAGAACGGTACGTAGACATACTCGGGTACACAAAAAACCATTAATTAAAGTGCGCATTTCTCGCTTTGAGGACATGACACTGATTTTGCCTCGATTTACATGATGGGTGTCGGCGATAAAACAGAAAATCCGTACCCTTAAAGAACACATTGACATGTTCGCTTTGTACTTTTTCAAAAGGGTTCATGTCACTTTTCCTTAATTTTAATTTTAGATTAAGACAAGGTAAGTTATCAGCAATATAATCATAACAACAGACCTCTAGACAAATCACCATTATACTAAGCACATTCTCATGAATGTTTTTGCAAGTCAATGATAAACGGAAATCCAGCTTTTGGTAAATCTTTTTTTTTCCATCCTTTAATTTAAGCATTTTTTATCAAATACAAAGCAAACATGTATACATTTATCACAGAAAGGTGGTTTAGATTGTTGTTTATGTAAAAAAGTAACAAAATAATGTATCTATATAAGATAGTTCTAATACTCTATTTTTCACAACCTCAAAATCAATCTACCTTTTGAAAATTTATGATTTTCTATATTATAGTAATCTATCAACATGCCCCTCCCAACCCCAGTCATTATGCATATAAGATAAATTATAACAGGTCATACTTTGTTAAAAAAAAGTGTTAGAAAAACATAATCTTAAACTTTTTGTCATTCTGTTTGTATAAAGAGCACAATTATATAAATATATGTGCTTTATACATATATTGCATAAAATGTAGGAATGCATAAGGGAGGTTTAATTCACTATATTTTTTACAACCCTATCGTATTCCATTAAAATTAATATCACATATGAGCAAAGGTCATTCATTTGAAAAAACTTGGTAGCATGCCAGCATGTTACTGGCCAAATATCATCCAAGGCCATTTTGTTATTGAGAAAATGTCGTTTGAGAATTTTAAAAAAATTGACCCCTGTTACCTTGAAAGTAGGGCAAGGCCATTCATTTGGACAATCTTGGCAGTCCTTCATCCCAGCATGCTACAGGCCAAATATCAGTACCATGATTCTTTCGGTTATTGAGAAGAAGTATTTGAAGAATTTAAGACAGTTGACCCCTGTGACCTTGAAAGTTAGTCGACTTCATTCATTTGAACAAACTTGGTAGCCCTTCATCCCAGCATGATACAGGCCCAATAACAGTACCCTGGGACTTTTGGTTATTGAGTAGAAGTTGTTTAAAGTAAAATATTGACGCCGGACGGACAGACGACGGACGCCGCGCCATGGTATAAGCTCACTTGCCCTTTGGGAAGGTAAACTAAAAAGGTATCCATTGGTACAACATAACCTTAGATATGATTGGAATGGCCTATTGACATAAAACAAAATCCGGTTCAGCTGCATACTTAGCTTATAAGTCACAGAAGTATGCACCAGCAAATGTGTCTCACAGGAATGAACCAAAAGAGGAGTCACACAGGAATGAACCAAAAGATGGGTCACAAAGCTATATGAGCCAGCAAACAACTCACACAATCAATATGAACATGTCACTATTATTCCAACAAATAACCCTAATATTACATGAATTTCTCATTGTCAATATGAGATGTCAAGATGATAACATACACTCGTTGTTTTGTTCATATAAGGCTGTAATTGTTTTGTGTTTGTCCATTCACAATAAACACAATGTCGTCTACTTCTCACTTAGCGTTTTTTACATTCTGATTCATCCATTGTTAACGCTGACAAAGTCTTTAATTCTTGGAAAAAAAGTACTAGTTTGATGTCCAAACAACACAGATGTTTAAAAAGCCTAGGATAATTTGCATATACTTTTTTCACCAGCAGGCGAATCACCCTCATCTGGATCCTCTGCTGTGCTGTTACGGTTAGATTCTATGTCATTTTGTGGCTGTTCCGCAGTAATGTTTTCATCAGTTCCACTTCCATTACCTTAGAAAAATTAGGAAAAGTTTGTTAGACTAGCTCTTACTAAGGAGTCAATACCCATATTAAGAATTTATTGAAGAATTCTTTTGAATTCTGTCCCTCTTATTACAAAGATATGAAAAAACTCTCTGCCTTAATCCAAAATGTTGCAGTAAGAATTGTGCGTCTTTCCTTCAAATATCACTGGAATATTTCATCTTTTGAACTACTATTTAAATTTTTCATCAAAAAATCTCCAAATACATATATATCTTAACAGAAGGTCAATAAATTGTCGTATTTTCATAACAAGAGGCCCAATGGGCATGCATCGCTCACCTGGTATTTATCTTACACTTGTAATCTTAAAAGTGGACATTTTACAGCTAAAGGCAAAATATCAGTGTTTGATTCATAAGAACCTATTAAAAGATTTTAACATATGACGTCTGTGACCTTGAATATCGATCAAGGACAATAGGTTGAACAGAGTTTACAGTCTTCCAACTCAGCATGCTTCTGACAAAATATAATTACCCTGGACCTTTTGGTTATACAGAACAAATAATTTAAAGATTTAAACATATATTGACCACTGTGACCTTGAATATTGGCGAAGGTCATTCACTTGGTAGTCCTTCAACCCAGCATGTTAATGACCTAATATCATCACCCTTGGCCTTTTGCTTATTAAGAAGTCGTTTAAAGGTCTTCAACATGTTTGAGCCCCTGTGACCTTGAATATATGTCAAGGTCATTCACCTGAACAAACTTGGTAGTCCTTTATTCCAGCAAGCCACTGACCAAATATCAATCATCATCATCCTAGGCATATTGGTTATTCAAAAGAAGTTGTATTACAGGTTTTTAACATATTTGACCTCTGTGACCTTGAATATAAGTTAATAATAATAATAATAATAATAATAATAATCTTTTATTTATTAATTTCATTAATTTGACCAAACTTGGTAGCCCTTCATCCCAGCATGCTACAGGCCCACTATCAGTACCCTGGGTCTTTTGGTTTATGAGAAGAAGTCGTTTGAAGATTTTAACTTATTTGACCCTTGTCACCTTGAAAGTGGGTCAAGGTCATTCATTTAAACAAACTTGGTAGTCCTTCATCCCAACATGATACAGGCTAAATTTCAGTACCCTGGGTATTTTGGTTAATGAGAAGTTATTTAAAGATTTTAAGGCATTTGACCCCTGTGACCTTGAAAGTGTATTAAGGTCATTCATTTACAAAAGCATGATAGCCCTTTATCCAAGCATGCTACAGACCTAATATCAGTACCCTGGGCCTTTTTGGTATTAAGAAGAAGTCCTTTGAAGATTTTAAGACATTTGATCCCTGTCACCTTGAAAGTAAGTAAATGTCCTTCACTTGAACAAACATGGTAGATCTTCATCCCAGCATGCAACAGACCCAAAATCAGTACCCTGGGCCTTTTGGTTATTGAGAAGAAGTCGTTGGAAGATTTTAAGACATTTTACCCCTGTGACCTTGAAAGTTGGTCAAGGTCATTCGTTTGAACAAACTTGATAGCCCTTCATCCCAGCATGCTACAGGCTAAATATCAGTAACCTGATTATTTCGGTTATTGAGAAATTGTTTGATGATTTTAAGACATTTTACCCCATTGACTTTGAAAGTTAGTCGATGTCATTCCTTTGAACAAACTTGTTAGCTCTTCATCCCAGCATGCTACATGCCTAATATCAGTACCCTTTGCCTTTTGGTAATTGAGGAGAAGTCGTTTGAAGATTTTAAGACAATTGACCCCTGTAACCTTGAAAGTGGGTCAATGTCATTCATTTGAACAAACTTGGTAGCCCTTCATCCCAGCATGATACAGGCCCAATAACAGTACCTGGGACTTTTGGTTATTGAGAAGAAGTTATTTAAAGTAAAATATTGACGCCGGACGGACGGACGACGGACGCCGCGCCATGGTATAAGCTCACTTGCCCTTTGGGCAGGTAAACTAAAAAGGTATTCATTGGTACAGCATAACCTGAGATATGATCGGAGTTGTCTATCGGCATAAAAAAACTCCGGTTCAGCTACATAATTACCTCATAAGTCACAGAAGTATGAACCAGCAAATGGTTCACACAGGAATGAACCAAAAGAGGAGTCACACAGGAATGAACCAAAAGATGGGTCACAAAGCTATATGAGCCAGCAAACAACTCACACAATCAATATGAACATGTCACTATTATTCCAACAAATAACCCTAAAATTACATGTATTTCTCATTGTCAATATGAAATGTCAAGATGATATCATACACTTGTTGTTTTGTTCATATAAGGCTGTAATTGTTTTGTGTGTTTGTCCATTCACAATAAACACAATGTCGTCTACTTCTCGCTTAGCGTTTTTTACATTCTGATTTATTCATTTTTAATGCTGACAAAGTCTTTAATTCTGGAAAGAAGTACTAGTTTGATGTCCAAACAACACAGATGTTTAAAAAGCCTAGGATAATTTGCATATACTTTTTTCACCAGCAGGCGAATCACCCTCATCTGGATCCTCTGCTGTGCTGTTACGGTTAGATCCTATGTCATTTTGTGGCTGTTCCGCAGTAATGTTTTCATCAGTTCCACTTCCATTACCTTAGAAAAATTAGGAAAAGTTTGTTAGACTAGCTCTTACTAAGGAGTCAATACCCATATTAAGAATTTATTGAAGAATTCTTTTGAATTCTGTCCCTCTTATTACAAAGATATGAAAAAACTCTCTGCCTTAATCCAAAATGTTGCAGTAAGAATTGTACTTCTCTCCTTCAAATATCACTGGAATATTTCATCTATTGAACTATTTAAATTTTTCATCCAAAGTTCTCCAAATACATATATATATTTTAACAGGTCAATACATTGTCGTATTTTCATAAAAATCATCGATCTCCTATATATTTCAGAAGGCAAAGCTCCCAGTACCTGCAGGTCTAATATACATGAAAATCCAAATTCTGACCATGTTTTTTTTTAAAAACAAGAGGCCCATGGGCCTTAATGGTCACGTGGCAAGTTTACATTTTTGACATTGGCGTCGGGAAATTTACATAAGAACAATATTTATTTATAGAGTACTCATAGGCTTTACATTAGTTATAACAGTTGTCCACTTGCATGGGACAAGTAAATGCAGAGTTTAGGCATGTGAAAGTTCAAAGCTACTTGTACTGATACCAAGTGGTAAGCTTGGGTTTATTCCAAACTTCCTGTTCTGTTCTCATCAGAAGTATAGCCTCTCTAAATGATGTATTATGCCCTGACTACATTTGATGTTACTGTATGGACAACAGAAGACACTAATCAATAAAAGTATTAATTGGTACACTGTTGTGGCAAATCATCAAAACCAGTACAAAAACAAGACTGTAAACCAAAGGCTAACTAATACCCCCCGCTCCTATATAAAACAGAACTGTAAGTTAAAGGCTACCTAAAGCAAAGCAGTCTAAACCTAATCACATCAGCCTAGATGAACCAGTTTTGTCGAAATCATCCTTGTAGTTAAGGAAGAATTGTAAGGACAAAGATGTTTAACAAAGGGCAATAACTCCTTTAAAAAAGTTGAAATGAAAATGATGCACGACATAAGGGGTTAATGCCATATCTGTAATCTGTATTGTTTTCATTGAAATCGGCCCAGTAAATGTACCTTGATTCAAACTTCATACAGCTGTGTATAAAAGACAACACTGAATGTAACTTTGTCCTTTCCCATATTAACTAATACAGTACTTCATAAGAAAGAAATAGAACATATCATTGCAATATGACAAAGATCTTTTAGTACTTCATAGGGAATAGTTCTTCTTGCCTCCATCTTTTATTATTATCACTCTTATAACACATAATAATAATAATAAAAATAAATTCGAGGTTCTTATATACTGCTTTATCACAACCAAGTTCCTAATATTGAAGAGTAATTGTGTATGAAATCTATTTTTAGCCCTATATCGTACCTCCAGTAATGTATAGGTACGTCTGTTCACTCTGTCCCGTCCCGATACTATTTGTGGCGCTGCAACGATAGTTCCCCGAGTCCGTGGTTACCGCAGAGACGATCGTCAAAGAGGGGGTCCCTGTTGTCCCGCCGGTGTACTTGACTCCGTTGACATTGATGGTATTTGTGTTTCCGTTGGCGTCAGTTTTCCCCCAGGTGATTGAGGTTGCCGCAGGAACAGCGGTCACTGTGCAGCCAAGCGTGGCTGACTGACCAGTCGTTAAGGAGTATTTTGTTTGACCAATCACAACAGTCGGTATACCTGCAATACACAAGTAAATTATCTAAAGTGTGTGTCTTCTTCCAAAATTGAGGATCCCGTACCACTGCCAAAAACTATAAATATGTATTAGAAAGTGGGTTTTTCTCTGGTATGTCGCTTGAAGAAAACTTTTATAAAATCATTTCTGAAAGGAAAAACATATCTTGTGGGACTTATGAAAAATGAAAGGATGAAATGAACAAAGTGTAATCAACGGTGTTCTCAATACAAGAATTCCACGGAAGTGGATGTGTCGCCTGCGCAGGAAGCTGGGAGATTACAAAGAAATAGATACACTTTTCATTTCAAGAAATAATGTTAAAAGTTATTTCTATTTATAGTAATAGTGACCTTAAGACCTGAAAAGCAATCCCAATCAAGCACTTTTGGTAAGGAAGCACTGCATGAAGTTTGAGTTTGATCCGCCCATGGAAACTCAAGTTATCGCACGAAAACAGATTTTCTATTTATAGTAACGGTAACCTTGACTTTTGACCTTCGGACCAAAAAAGGAAATCCAAGCAAGCACTTTTGGTAAGGAAGCACTGCATGAAGTTTGAGTTTGATCGGCCAAAGGAAACTCAAGTTATCGCACGAAAACAGATTTTCTATTTATAGTAACAGTGACCTTGACATTTGACCTTCAGACCTGAAAAGCAGTCCAAAGCAAGCACTTTTGGTATGGTAAGGAAGCACTGCATGAAGTTTGAGTTTAATCGGCCTAAGGAAACTCAAGTTATCTCTAGAAAACAGATTTTCTATTGATAGAAACAGTGACCTTGACCTTTGACCTTCAGATCTGAAAAGCAATCCCAATCAAGCACTGTCGGTAAGGGAGCACTGCATGAAGTTTGAGTTTGATCGGCCAAAGGAAACTCAAGTTATCGCACGAAAACAGATTTTCTATTTATAGTAACGGTAACCTTGACTTTTGACCTTCGGACCAAAAAAGGAAATCCAAGCAAGCACTTTTGGTAAGGAAGCCATGCATGAAGTTTGAATTTAATCGGCCTACGGAAACTCAAGTTATCGCACGAAAACAGATTTTCTATTCATAGTAACAGTGACCTTGACCTTTGATCTTCGGACCTGAAAAGAAATCCCATGCAAGCACTTCCGGTAAGGAAGCACTGCATTAAGTTTGAGTTTGATCGGCCCAAGGAAACTCAAGTTATCGCACGAAAACCTCTGTGCGGACGACGCCGCCGACGACGCCGACACCGACATAGCAATACCTATGTGTCACCAGCTTTTTGCAGGCGACACAAAAATGCAGTGAAAAAAATGTAGCAGAGCTAGACAGGAATTTGAACCCTGTATCTACGAGTGTTATACTATGGCTCTAACAGACTGAGCTACCTGATCAGCGAGGTGTGGTGCCTCAACTTTGCAACAGTTATATTCAATGCAAAATTAAATGAAAATAACTGTACATAGGAAAAATCACAGTGGGACAAGGATCCTTAATATAAAACTGTTGTTGTTGTTGTTGTTTTTCAAAGTACGGAATCACATTTTTTTTCTAATGTGTGTTTTTATTTGTTGCCAGTCATGTATGACATCACTTTTCATGACGTTATTTATGATTGGTTAAGTCAAAGTTTAAGACAGTTTTTAGACCTAAGATGGTTTCATGATCCCAGGGCCTGGTCTAAACTTTTAAACTTTTCCACTTGCACGTGTAATTATAGTAGCCTCGACATACTGTATACCGATGTCCTATAAATATTTATCCCCATAAGATGCCTATCCGGACAAGTATTTTTGGGGGAAGGAAAATGGTATATCACACTGGAACATTTACGCTGCAGTTTAAATTTTGCCTTTTAAGTCCTCCATTATGATGGCGATTTATAATACCATTACAGCGAATGTAAGTAAACAGCTATCCTCAATATCCAGGGGTTACGCTCACTTACGCTCTCTACACCTCTGGAATATGTCATAGCGAAATTGAAGGCTCAGTGTGCGCAAACTTGTCGATGAGACAAAAAGACTACTTTGATCTTTTGATATACATCAAAAGAATCTCGCAGTCACGTAACGGTAAACATTGACAGGCTTTGAAGTTGGGTGTTTCTCTTCAAAGGACAGATATCAGCCTAGCGATTGGTCATGCTTTTTTTTACCTGAGACAATTCAAACAGCAATCTTCGTGCCTTCAATTTTGCCCCTGGATATCGAGGATGATAAAAAGCATAATAAACATAGTAATTAAAAGTGAAAGGTGAAACTTACAATAGGTGAAAATTGATTTTACGGGCAAAGGGCGAAAGTTTGACTGGGTGAAAATTTCCCTGTATACAGTGATAATTTTGTAATATAAACACGTGCTGCCTGTGACGGACAGGTACACCTGTTTGAAGAGTTTGACACATTTGACCCCTGTGATCTTGAAAGAATGTCAAGGTCATTTTCATTCCCAAACTCTGTTGGGCTCCATCCAAGGAAGCCATCAGTCAAATATGAAGATTCTATACCTTTTAGTTCTTCTTAGAAGTCGTTTGAAGTGTTCGACATATTTGACCGCTGTGACCTTGTCAGTACGTCAAGGTCATTTTCATTTTCAAACTTTGTTGGGCTTCATCCCAGGAAGCCATCACCCAAGTATGAAGATTTTATACCATTTAGTTCTTCAAAAGAAATCTTTTGAAGTTTTTGACATATTTGACCCCTGTGACCTTGAAAGGAGGTCAAGGTCATTTACATTCTCAAACTTTGTCAGGCTCCTACCAACGAAGCTATAACCCAAATACAATGACTCTAGGCCTGTCCATTCTTGAGAATAAGTCGTTAAAAGCAAAAGGTGACGGACGAAGGACGGACGACGGATGCCGCGCCATGGCATAAGCTCACTAGCCCTTCGGGCAGGTGAGCTAATAAATACTACAGGGAATGTTTTGCTGTACATTTTGTCGGAAAGACATGTCTTATGATTCATGTACCGGGGTAGTTCTATTCAATTTGGAAATAAAATAATACAAATAAAATCTTCTACTTTCATAAGAGAATTGACTCCGCCCCCTTTTTCTGGCCTTGTACATCCGTACAATATACTGTGATTCACGTAAATTTGTTATATTTTTCTCATACTTTCCATTTCTTTTATACACTTTTTAAATATATATACATATCTTCACAGCTTAATTTAAAATGTTAACAAGGAAACACTGCAAAAATGATTCAAGTAAAATTTCCCCCAAGGAGATAAAAAAGGCTCACATAAAGTCTCTCATTATGTAACAGCAGAGTCAAGATCTGCCCTGTTCACATTCTGGAGGATGAAATATATGCAAAATTCAGACAGGGCTATTCCGATCACTGATACTGTCCAAACCTGCTAGTCAGACAGCTAAAATATCTCTCTTCCAAGTAAAACCTTATTGCATGCAATCAATGGTGATATATTTCCCCCAATACATTTTATGTTGGATATTTGAAAAAAACAAAAAAAAACTATGCTAAGTTAGCCTTCTTGATGAAAGGCAAATGGGGCAAGGATAAAACTGGAAATAACAGTGACAAAAAACCCCAGGAAATTACTGTGAAGCCATAATTTCGTGGTTTCCCAACAAAACACCATATGTGGGTTCATGGATTTGTGGATTACGAGTACTCACTTAAATGGAGAATCGCTTTATATCAAACTTGTGATTATTTCATGGACTTAAGAATTCGTGGATGAATATTACCCAGGAAATCAACAAATTACTCCATAAAAGTTATCGATTTCACAGTATTGTATCAAATTTTATTTTCAACATACATCAGAGTTTGTATATTAACTCATTCACCCCTAAAATTTCATAATGAACTATTCCAACCTTTGAATTGGAAGGGTTTAAATGTGTCTTCGGGGGTGAATGAGTTAAGGAGAAGTATTACCGTATTCGATCTAAAATGTGCACTGGGCGATTAGATATTTTTTAAATTCACAAATAGCCGTAATAGACACATGTTTCAAGTTTGTAAATTATGGTCACATAGACTAGAAGTAAGTAGTGGGGCTCTAAACATAAGGGCTTTGGGACTTATCACCTCAATTACGGTACATGTATTTGTATTACAGCGATTATTGGAAAGATTTTGACAGTTTGATAATTAAGGTATTTCAAGACACACAAATACAGTCTTAAACAAGAGTTCCGCGAGACGATACATGATACGCCCTTCAGATGAAGAATGAGCAGTTTGCCACCAAGGGCCAAAAGTGCATAAATTTTGGAGAGATAAGCGTCAAATCTGATCAAGCTTGTCCGAGCTTTCATGGCAATGGGCCATAACTCCGTAAATAACCGGCAAATAGTTTTGGTTATTGCAAGCTTTCATAGAAATAAACCTTAAGTTATTGAGCAGAAACCGTTACGTCAATTCTATAAAGGGCCCCTTAATAGCAGGCGGATAATGGTTATCGAACTTGTGCAAGCTTTCATAGAAATGAACCTTCCTATGAAGTTTGAACTGAATCCATTCAAAATTACTCAAGTTATTGAGCGGAAACTGTTTCGGCAATTCTAGAAAGGGCCAAAACTCCGTAAATAACCAGCAAATAATTTTGTTATGCCAAGCTTTCATAGAAATTAACCTTCTTACGAAGTTTGAAATGAATCTATTCAAAATTACTGAAGTTATTGAGCGGAAACTGTTTCGGCAATTCTACAAAGGGCCATCAATCCGTAATAACAAGCGTATAATTTTGGTTATCGAAATTGTCCGAGCTTTAATAGCAATGAACCATCCTATGAAGTTTGAAATGAATCCATTCAAAGTTACTGAAGCTATTGAGCGGAAACTGTTCGGCAATTCTTAAAAGGGCCATAACTTTGTAAATAACAGGTAAATAATTTTGGTTATCAAACTTGTCGGAGTTTTTATAGCAATGAACCTTCCTATGAAGTTTTGAATTAATCCATTCAAAATTACTCAAGTTATTGAGCGGAAACTGTTTCGGAAATTCTACAAAAGGCCATAACTCCGGAAATAACTGGCAAATAAATTTG